TATCCGCCCCATTTTTTTAATTGTTATAGCTTTTAAAATATTTTATTTATAAAAGCGTATTCGATTTATTTTTTAATTAAATGGAATGTTTAATTTTTTTAGTAGTTATTAGCGCCATCTACTGATCCTTAATGCTAGCTACTGTTTGTAAAAGACTAATTATTGCTATCAGAAGATTAAATACTGCTAGTAAAAGACTAAAAACTGCTTGGAAAGAGGAAATACTATTTGAAAAAGTTGCCTACTGCTTCTAAAATGCTAAATACTACAGAAAAAAAGCACAACTTCCTTGGAAAAGACTAAATGCTGTTTTCAAAATAATAACTATTGCTTCCAGAACACTAAACACTGTTCTTAAAAGTTTTGACCTACTTGGACAGGCGGAATACTGCTTCCAAAACTACTTATTGCTTTTAAAGACTTTAATAATTGCTTGGAAAAGTGATATGCTTTCTATAAAGCTACCTCATCGTGTGACAGATTTTGAACACTTAAAAATAAATTATTTTCTTTATTTTAAACGTTATGTTTCGGGGAAATCGTCTTTTTATTGGCTACAAAAATAAGGTTAGTTTACTTTTTATTATTATCCCTTTGAAATGTTTGTGTTGTCGCGAATTATTTAAAATTATTATTACCCAAAAATATTATTGACCAAAAGATGGCGCTACGATAGATCGATTTAATTTTTGAATTTCTTTCTCAATAAATTTAATAATAATCGTATCCACCCCAATTCTTTAATTGTTATAGCTTTTCAAATATTTTGTTTATAAAAGCGTTTAATTTATTTTATGGGGAAATGTTTAATTTTTTAGTAGTTATCAGCGCCATCTAGTGGTGCTATCAAGTGATCCTGAATGCTTGATACTGTTAGCAAAAGACGCAAAAGACTAATTATTGCTATCACAAGATTAAATATTGCTAGTAAAATATTAAAAACAGCTTGGAAAGAGGAAATACTATTTCAAAAAGTTGCCTACTGCTTCTAAAATGCTAGGTACTGAAGAAAAAGACCACAAATTCCTTGGAAAAGATTAGACACTGTTTTATTGCTTCCAGAACGCTAAACACTGCTGTTAAAGGTTTTGACCTACTTGGACAGGCGGAATACTGCTTCCAAGACTAGTTGCCTACTGCTTCTAAAATGCTAGGTACTGAAGAAAAAGACCACAAATTCCTTGGAAAGATTAGACACTGTTTTATTGCTTCCAGAACGCTAAACACTGCTGTTAAAGGTTTTGACCTACTTGGACAGGCGGAATACTGCTTCCAAGACTACTTATTGCTTTCAAAGCCTTTAATAATTGTTTGGAAAAGAGATATGCTTTCTAAAAAACTACCTCATCGTTGGACAGATTTTGAACTAACACAAAAATTAATTGTTTTCTTTATTTTAAACGTTATATTTCGGCGAAATCGTCCTTTTATTGGCTACAAAAATAAGGTTAGTTTACTTTTTATTATAATCCGTTTGAAATGTTTGTGTTATCACGAATCATTTAAAATTATTATTACCCAAAATTATTGACCAAAAGATGGCGCTACAATAGACCGATTTAATTTTTTAATTTCTTTCTCAATAAATTTAATAATAATCGTATCCACCCAAATTTTTTAATAATTGTTATAGCTTTTAAATTATTTTATTTATAAAAGCAAGTTTGATTATTTTATTGGGAAATGTTTACTTTTTTATATTTTAGTAGTAGTTATGAGCGCCATCTAGTGGCTATTAAAGTAAATAAAGCGAATTTAATGTATTAACGATTCATTTTATTTTCAAAAAATAATAATAATAAGGTGAACACCCACAGTGCAAGACGCTTTAAAAACAAATAATGAGAGANTTTTGTACTCGGAATTTTCCGATACCAAGATATCCACTTTTCTTTCTAATTGATCCATGTATTCTTTTTTCTTTCTTCTACTTTCTTGAGCCGATATCTACAAAATTTAAATAAAAATTAATCTCATTATTTAATAATCAAATTAATTATGGTATATTTCAAGAATCATCATGTCGCTTAAAAATCGTCAATTTTTTTTAATCGACTTAAATGTCGTTGTTAACCATCTATAAACTAAAGATAATGTAAAATCTATTCCTGGATGCTAGATACTGTAGGCAAAAGACTAATTATTGCTATCAGAAGATTAAATACTGGTAGTAAAAGACTAAAAACTGCTTAGAAAGAGGAAATACTATTTCAAAACGTTACCTACTTGTTCTAAAATGCTAGATACTGCAAAAAAAGACCACAACTTACTTGGAAAAGACTAAATATTGTTTTCAAAATAATACCTATTGCTTCCAGAACGCTAAACATTGCTGTTAAAGGTTTTGACCTACTTGGACAGGCGGAATACTGCTTCCAAGACTACTTATTGCTTTCAAAAACTTTAATAATTGTTTGGAAAAGAGATATGCTTTTCAAAAAGCTACCTAATGCTGCCAGAATGCTAAATATTACTGGAAAAGACTAACAACTATATAGAAAGAAGAGTTATGCTATCAAAGAAAGGTACCTATTGCTTCCAAAATGCTAGATACTGGTGGAAAAGATTACAATCTGCTTGGAGAAGACTAGATAGCGCTAACAAACAACTACAAACTGATTGGAAAGATGAGATACTACTTCCATAAGACTACTTACTGCTATCAGAGCGCTATATACTACTAGAAAAGATTACGACCTGTTTCGAGAAGACTAAATACTGCTAGGAGAAACTATTATCTGCTTGGAAAGACAAGATACTGTTTCCAACAGACTATCAACTACTTTCAGAATGCTAAATATTGTTGAAAAGACTACTAATTGCTTGGAGAAAGCTAAATATTGTTGGCAAAGACTATTTAATGCTTTCAGAAGACTATATACTGCTGCCAAAATACTACTAAGTGTTTGAAGATTAAAATACTACTGGCTGAAGACTATTTACTGAAACTATTGTTCTGTTGAGTGATATCTTTCGGTGTCCCTTCCATTACAGATTTAAAAATTGCTGCTACAACACTCGATTCTTTATCACCCAGATGCGACATATCTTTTTAGAGGGGGGTAGGGCACATTCGGATACACCTAATTTACTGATTTATTTCAGAATTTTATGTAGAAATTCCACTTTGAGTTAGGTTAATTAACATTTAACCCAGTGCGAATTTTTCAAGATGTCTTCAGACACATTCGGCTAAACCCAAATATTTCTAATTCTAGATCTAGTGTTAGTTCTAGTTTTAGTTCAATAAAAATATGCAACATAGTGATATCTTATGCTAACTACCGCTGTCACTACAACTAACATTAGATTTAAAACTAGAAACATTTATGTTTAACAATGCGTCATTAGACGAATGTTTCTAGTTATCGCAACCCACCAACCCATACGTTGAGCTACGATGTCGCGCAGACCTCACATTAAGCAATTCGAGAGAGGTCTTCTTCTATTGAGGCGTAGAAGCAAGTACATCATAATGCTGATAATGTTTGGTTAGGTGGGACAACAGTAGGTCGCTGTCTAAAAGTCATAATCTAAGTATTCGACTGATATAAATTGGATCCTGACTTAATTATTGTCATGTATCACAAGTAAGCGATTTTGATAGATCGTTAATACACACAAGGAGGGGAGAGGTCCAAAAGTTGGCCCCTAAATAACTTCGCAAGACGTCGATCAAGATTACATAAGCCCAGAATCTCCCATAACTACCTTTTGAAAGATGAACATACTAGAGATCAAACAACGGCAAACTAGGACTATCTTCTATCTAGCATTAACAATACCAGCAATAAAAAAAGGCTATATTGAAAACCTTTCCAGCCTGGATGCTCAGAACTTCAATAATTATTTCTCCAAGATTGTGGTGAATATAGTAAAAACTATCCATGTTTTTTAATCTTCCGACGCACAGCTAAACCCGATACTTTCTGGTTCTAGGTCTAGTGTTAGTTCTAGTTTTACATTAACACTATCACTAGAAATAACACAAGACCTAGAACTAGAATCAGTCGGGTTTAGCCGCCTTGAGAGACGTGGGGTTAAATCCGAATGTTTCTAGTTTTCAATCTAGTGTTAGTTCTAGTATTAACACAGAGTCTATTGACACACAGTCTAACTAACGATAGATAGTCGGTCGTTATGCCCAGTTTAGTGAAAATAACTTTACTTTTAAATTTATCAGATTAATTTTGTGTGTGACTATAAAATAAACAATATTGTAGTTATCCATGTTAGGGAATTCCAATGGTTTATAAACACCACATTGAAACTGGGCATAATATTAATTATAAAGATATAAAACTATTACACAAATGTAGTAAGTCAGAAAATGGATCTTCTTGAAATTGTTAAACATAAAAATAATGATGAATTTATACTTTTGAACGATCAGCGTCAATTAACACAAAAACCTATTTTCGCCTATTTGAAAGACTTTAAACTTTAATGTTAACGAACTTAAATGTTAACATTTTTCCCTCCCTCGCGAACACGTCTGAACTTGTTGTTTTTCCTTTGTACGATCGGTTCAGTCTANGCGATTCGCGTTCAAGCTTATATCTAAAGGCAAAAAAAAATCTGTCGATGGTGAAAGTGGCAAAATGATACAATTTTTTTTTTTCGTTGGGTTCAACGAGAACATAGAGAAAAGCGGCTTTCTAAAGTCTCTTGCGGTTTCATAAAACGAGGCTTTTTATAAATTACCGTGGGAGGTTTAATTTTATGGATCGCTTAATTACCGTATTGGCGTAAATTAATAAAAAATGAGATGTACCCGGACTTTGATGGTTGATAATGTTCTGTTTAATTTAGTTATCTATTAAATTAACGCAATTTTAATTGCGATTTTAAACAACATTTTTTGAATGTATTTAACACTTTGGTTTCGGGGAATTTTATCAAATGTGGAATAACTAGAATCGCGAATTTTTTTTTGGATTCATTTAAAATTATTTAAATATTTTAAAACTCCATTCTATGAAACATTTTTAATTTGTTTGAATCTCTAATCGAGTTTAACCGTCTGAAGACGCAAACGATGAGAGGAAGATTACAATGACACAATAGGAGGTGTTGATCGCGTAGATCAATATTTAGCTAAAAATCTAATTTCAAGAAAATGGGGCAAGAAGATTTTCTTCCATCTTTTTTCCATCATTTAGATTTATTCAATCACGTGGGCTACATAAGTAGATGTGATAAGTCAACATGCATAGAACAATAAAACAAAATACAATAGTAAATTATACAGTGTGTCCGTAAAATAACGGATATAGGCGATGAAATCGTTACAAACGGGTTACCGAAAAATTCCTAAAACGGGTCTGAAGATTTAAATTTTTTAACCACTAATCACTTTAAACAATTTCCTAAGTATCAAAAAATGGCGTAGTAAGTAGTTGAGCTCTTTAATACGACATATCCTGATCGTCAACTCATTAGCCAAAGTATGGTGAGCCTACCTGTGAGTAAATTAAAAACCATGGGCATCCCTTGAAACATTTCTCGAAGTCTGGCCTACCAAATGTTTCAGGGGAGGTTAAACAAAACGTGGTTTTAGCTGGGAAAGAAAACCCTCATGTTACTTCATGTTACTTCTTACTGTAAGGGGTATTTCACTTAACCCGTAGGGCTGGGTAGTCGGCGGATTTGCCGCCGGCGCTCGCGATAGTGCCATCAGTGTTGGTGGGTTCCACGGGTGAAGTGAAAAATTATAGTGCAAGATGAGTAAGATAAGCAATCCCAAGAAGGAAGGTGGAAAAAAGGAGGTAGCGAAGGAAAGGACAAAAAGGAGTCGGAGAAAGGAAAAGCAGGTACGTCAAAGATGGCAGAGGAGGAACAGTTAGCGTTTGGAAGAAGAGGCAATGTGGCTAGGTCTCCGCCGAAGGTGGCGCAATTAGTTGAGCGTATAGAGGAGGTTGTTCGTCCACTGATGTCCGAGTACGAAGAGCAAGGGGCAATTCCTAGAGAAAGGGCATCGTCGTTGCCGACGATGACCGAAAGAAAGAGAAAAAAGTGTGACTTAGATATCTCAGTGGAGCCGGAAAAGGATGTTAGTAGTCCACTTGAGCGAATGCGTATGGTGAAGCAGGACTTGCAGGGCTTTCTGATTAATGACCCGTTCAGGCTTTCAAAGAACACGAGGCTGACAATATTGGAGAGGTTTAATAAAGTAGAGGAATTGTTTAATGAGTTGGTGATAGAAAATGAGGTGAATAAGCGTGTTATTGAAGAGTTGAAAGCGATGCAAAGGGTACCGGTGGTGGGTGCGATGGCACCATCTTATGCTGGGGCGGTGTCTTCAAGAATGATGGGATCGGAAGCAAGAGGAAAGAATGTGATTATAGTCAAATGTAAAGAAGATGGAAAATTAGATAACAGCGAGTTGGTTAAACGAGCGGTGTGCGAGGATATGCTGAAGGGCTTGAACACTGTGAAGGTTAGGAATTTAAGGAAGATAAGGGAAAATGGAGTGGTGATAGAAACGGAGACGAATGAAGATGTGGAAGTGATTATGAAGAGTGGTAGATTGAACGAGTTAGGTTTGAAGGCTGAAACACCGAGGAAAGCAGCGCCGTGCGTTATTTTGTACGATGTAGAAAAAGAGATTAGTACAGAAGAACTAGTACGCGAACTGGCCGTCAGAAATCTGGATATGACGGAGGAAGAGGTTAAGAAGGAGATAAAGATTAGGTCGAGGGACGTTCGTAGGGAGGGAAACAAGGATAGATCAAATGTTATTTTAGAGGTTTCGCCGGGTATAAGGAGAAGGTTGATTGGAAGGGGCAGGATTTTTGTGAGAAGCTTTTCGTACAAGGTGAGTGACATTGTGTTGGTGTTGCGTTGCAACAAGTGTTTGGCTTTTGGTCACGTTGCGAGGTTTTGTGAAAGGGCTGTAGTATGTAGAAGTTGTGGAGTGGAGGGACACGTCGGAAAGGATTGTAAGA